GGCCGAGGTAGTCTGCGGGACGAGTTACTACACTACAGAAAGAAGGAAACACACAACGACAAGCCTACCGATAACTGTAAAATTCCTTTCTCATCCTCTGCTTCCTTTTCATGTTCGACATGACGCCCCAAACCCTACCGTAACCACATCGTTCATCGTGGCCGCCGTCCCGTCCCTCGTAGACCGATGACTTGCAGCCGCGGAGCCTAACATACCTACTCCTACAATCACCACACGCGCATGCACAACACACACAGCTACCTAGTTATCAAAAAGAACAACACATACCTGCATCAGTATCTACACCCTCCCAGCCCGCCATCCCAACAAGCATCCGCTCACGCGACTCCACCCGTAGTCGCAGTCGTAATCGTTGTCGTCGTCGTCCTACGTGCACATGACCACTAACCGCTTCGCTACACCTGCATACCAGCCTCATTTTTTCCACCGCTGATCGTCCTCATCGCCGCATCGCGCATGTGACCTACGTCACAGGTGCATAGCTATCCTGGCCAACGACTGCAGTTCACGATCGAAGTATCAAGCATGCATCGCAGTAAACACATGAATAAAGCACTACAAGCGCATTACGCGATACTTTCCATATTTTGCTGCCGCGGAGTGTGTCTCGCGTGACGGCTCATTTGGAAATGACGATGAAAAGCCCAGCACGTGGCTTCCCAACCATAGTAAAACAACGCCGCCGTTGCGCCGAAGTCTACTATCTGTGGAGACGCGTATCTCCACGACGGCCTGGCGTACGATGGCCAGATCGAATCGATTGATCGAACGGGCTGGGGAAGTGGAGCTGGGTTGGAAGCCAGCAACCAAGGCAAGCAAGTCATTCCCGGCGCGCAGCGCCAACGGACTGCGACGGCTTCGAAAACAAACGGTGCAGGTGGTCGCCGCCGGGTTCAAGTTTCTTATTCCAGACCGTATGTGAGGCGAGAAAATGGGCACGAGGGACCGTTGTTCGGGAACGGGAAGCACGATGTAGTTAGTTAGATCGAGGCGTATAAGAGAAGCAAACATCTCTCTATCGTGGTTTCTTTTTCGTTTTCATCTCGAGTATACCGTTCGAGAGAGAAAACAAAGAAAGTCACTACCTATCCACCAATCATAATCTTCTACTTCTCTTCACACACGAACACCTTCCTACTCGAGTAAAAAGTCTACGTCTCAAACTACAACAAACATGCTCTTCGAAGCCCTCAGCGTCCTCGTCATCGGCGGTTTGAAACTCACAGCCGTGGGCCTGGCGTTCAAGTGGATGGCGAGGTACTAGAATGGCCTCTTCACGTGTGGAAGGAGTGAGGCGACGGAAAGGAATTGTCGCAGCCAGTCAGAACAGCGGGGTGGTGCGATTGCCCCGCTGAATGGTGTGAGGCAGGCGCGGGGTAGTTCACCGGGACTGGGAACCACATGCACACGAGCGACAACGGAACGGAGCCGCTACAACACCAACACTCATCGATAGACGACCACACCGTCACTGCACTCACACAACCATCGTATCTGCAGCCATCATCACCGAACCATGCCAGACCCCCCACAGACCTTCACGTCCCTGCCCATCCTGCCACTCAGCGCCGCTCTGAACCCGGCTACCAAACCGCAGTTCCTGCGCGACCTACGCGATGCCTTGTTGAACGTGGGGTTTTTGTATCTGAGCGAAACAGGGCTGCCGGAGGGGTTGGTGCAGGATGTGATCAAGGAGTGTGGACGGTTTTTCGAGGAACTGCCGAGGGGGGAGAAGGAGAAGATTGAAATGAAGAATGAGAAGAGTTTTTTGGGGTGGAGTAGGGTGAGTGTGTGATTTCCTTTTGAGTTTGTTATGTTTCTGTTCCATTTGTCAAGTTGAAGTTAGCAAGTTGAATGGGAGAGAGAGAGAGAGACGACGATTATGCAGATAAGACGATGGTCTATTACAAGCTATCGCTATGCTACGCTATGCATGGTGTGTACGGAAAGAGAGAGAAAAAAATATCAAGGAAACTATGATACAGAGAACCGAAGAACGAAGAAAGAAAAAGAGAAACCGGCCGTAAACCCATAACGCGTGTATCACAATAAACCTCCAATGCCCTCTCTCTTCTCATACCAACGCCAGCTGCAAAAACAGAAAAAAAAAGACAGATAACAGAATCACCCGGGTATATCCCAAATAGACGACGCCAACAATATGTACTCGACGGCCGTTAACTTGCACACACACACTCTCTCTCCTGCCATTACTCCATTCCGTCTCTTCCTCGTAACTCAAAACTTTTGCTTTCTTTCTTTTGGTCGTCAAACGACTCGTCGTAAAATGCATGCTGACAAGAATCCTTTCTTCGTAGCTCGACAACGAAACCACGGCATTCAATCCAGACCACAGGGAACAACTCGACCTCTCGACTCCACATGCACTACCCGGACCCGACGCACCGCTGTACCACAACTTGCTCGCACCGAACCAATGGCCGTCGGCTGACCATCTCCCGTCTTTCAGACCAGTCTATGAGGACTACATACGGCGCATGGCGCACATCTCCACGCTCTTCACGTCGCTGATCGCAGAGGCGATTGGCTTGCCTGCGGACGCGTTTGAGAAGTTCTTTGATCGCGACCAGCAGCACAAGCTCAAGATAGTCAAGTATCCCGAGGTTGATGTGGGTGACCTGCCGGCTGGGGCGAGCGAGATGGAGCGGAAGAAGTTGGAGATCAAGCGCCAGGGCGTGGGTCCGCATAAAGATAGTATGCTCACCAGCTACCTGCTGCAGGCTTCCGATCAGCTCGGCCTGCAGGCGCAGAACGCAAAGGGCGAGTGGATAGACTGCAAGCCCATACCTGGTACGCTTGTTGTGGCGATCGGGCAAGGCATGGAGGCGCTGACAGATGGGGTTTGCGCGTCAACTACACATCGCGTTCTGAGTCCGCGCAAGGGGGAAGGCGCGCGTTACTCGGTGCCGTTCTTCCAAGGCGTGAGCTACGACGCGCAGTTTGAAGCCATGGATGTGCCGGACGAGGTACTACAGCTGAGGGACCAGGCGAGGAAGAAGCGCAAGGACGATGTGGAGTTTACGTTTGTGAAGGGCAGATGGGGACACCTCGGCGAGGCAACGCTGATGAACAGGATCAAGAGCCATCCCGACGTTGGCGAGCGGTGGTACCCCAACGAGCTGAAGCACATCCGCGCGCAGCAGGCAGCAGCGCAGGCGTCGTCATGAAGGCGATGGCAACCAGGAGAGAGCCTGTAGTCGTAGTGTAGCAGACCATGCCCGACACACGCAGCACCAGTGGCCTCGGATTCACGTGAAGCTTCCGTTCCGTCAGCGTTCCGTCAGCGTTCATGCGGTGTGACAAACAATCACACGAGAGCACTGCCGCCATCGTGATCCAGGATCAAGGGACAATACGGTGAGCTCATGTCCACTTCACATGGTTGTGTATCGGCAACGCTTCCCTATGCAGGACACAAGCGAGCGCAGGCGAGCTACTGCACCCAACGGCGCAATGCGATTGGGCGGAAGCGCGCCCGAACGCATGTATCCCATGTGAGCGGATCCGCGGGACGCCACGCAAAGCCTCCACACCCTGGCCTTGGCAACAAAGGCTCCGCAGCACCCAGCGAAGAAAAAGCCACGCCCGAGAAATTCTGCTGGCCACCGTGTTTCGGCGTTACGGCGCTACTATGTCCATCGGAAGAAAACGTCCGATAAAGGGACGAGGCAAAAAGGGCCGGCGGAACCGCTGTTGTAGACCTTTTCTGCCCTGGCAAACCACCCGATGCTGCATGCGTAACCAGCGTCCGGTGTGTAGCGTAGTGTAGCTCGTAGTTGGCTCGTAAAGTGTATTTGGCATACCATGTTTCAGCGTCGGTGGGCCCTATCCGCACGAGGAAATTTTAGCAGACTTTCTGGCGCATGTGGGGCTAGCTTCCATGCATGTTTCCCTTTCGTAAGTTTACAAAAGACAAATACCATGACGGGTGGCCGATGTCGTGTGGGTGTGATGGATGGGGGATGGATGGATCCAGGGCATGGGCCAGTTCGAACGGATGCTCGGATGTCGGGAAATCTCGGTTGCATTGCTCCTTCAGGAACGCGCTGGTCTGCGCAATCGCACCATCGAAAGCCCCCAGCGAACCAGACTAAGGGGCGTGGGCGAGGTGGAAGCGAAAGGAAGCCAGCTTGGAAGCCCAAAACGCGGCCGACGGCTCAGAAATCTCGCAACGAGGCCCCCGGTCAGGCGCGCGCGCAGAAAATGGAGGATCCACGGAATGTTCCATTTGCTCATTTCCCTTCTTCTTCCGCTTCCACCGTCCCATCATCATCGTATCCACCTCTTCACCGTCCATCGTGCCCTAAGCTAGTCTCCAGGAACGCACTAGGCTGTAGCGTCCCAAGCGGGACCTCTTTGCACCACGGGCGACTGCAATCTTGATGCGATCCCACAATCCGCATGTGGGGCCTTCCGTGTTGCTGTTTCATTGCGCTTCATGCGATCGTGGGGGCAGCGACGTCGACGTCCAAAAAAAACTTGAGGTGATGCGAAATTGTCCGACGCTGGGGGCGCGCTTGGAAACGGGTGCCGCGTCGTATAGCGGTGAACCGTGAACGTATGCCTGGTTCTAGCGTGTGAAAACCCAAAGGATCGAGGCGGCGTGGTCGTCCCTGCCAAATTCCCGCGAGATGGATCGCGTCTTGCCGTCATCGACAGCATCGAGCGGCGGCGCGTGCTACTGCTTTCGGAAGGGCCCTTGCGGAACAATTATGATATATCGCCGAGGAATACAGCCTATCGTGACTGTGCCGCGTGGTGCCGCGTGTCAAGGACATTTTGTCCCGCGTCGAGAAGATTGCGATGAAGGAGCAATTTGTTCCATGGCGCGTGGTTGCGTCTAGTAGATTGCTCGATGTGGGTGTTGTGTGATCGAAGGATCGTCTCCCTGGTACCCTTGCCAACGGTCTGCAGCCACGTAGGATATGCGAACATGTTCAGACGAGTCGTGGTCATACTCAATGCTCAACCTTCATGTTGGACTGGTATGGCTGGTAGATGATGTGCTGTCCTTGCTCGTTCATCATCTGCGGCTGGCCGTGCTGTGCGTGCATCATGGGCATCTCACTGCCATGGCTAACCTGGGGAGGGTAGCCTTGCTGGGGACCAACAGGGTAGGAGCCGTAGGGAGCAGATGTGTGATGTTGCTGGTGCTGGTGCTGAGGTGGGCCTTGGCCTTGGACGGGCTGGTGATGCATAGGAACACTCATGTGTCGTTGGTACTCCGAGGCATGAGGCGAAGGATGCGAGGTCGGTGTACCGTAACCGGACATTGGCATCGGCTGAGAAGTGACCATGGAGGCGTTCTCAAGAGGGTAAGACATGGCTCGCGCGTTGCTCTCCATGACATATGGGCTTGGGTATGACATGTTGGGCTGCTCAACCGCATGGACCGACGCATCCTGCACTGGCATGGAAACTTGGTGGTGCTGTTGCTGAGGGTGGCTGGGGTGAGGACTCCAGCGAACTCCCTCGTGCTGTGGCGCTTGGACTTCACCCATGGCAGGTGGCGTATCAACGTGCGGTGAGGAGACGTGGTGGGCGTACGTGTGCTGCGACTGCCAGTGTCCAGGTTGAGACACGGGCGTCGCTATTTCGGGGACTGAATGTGCGCTCCTCGCCGTTCCAGTAGACATTCTCCGGGGTTGGCTGAGCATCTGAACCCGATCACTCGGTGAAGGTGCGCCTGCAATAGTCATGTCAGCCTCCATGCATCGATATCACATTGGGTGGAGAACGAGGCTCGCGCTTCTCGCCTCGCCTCGGCGGGAACAGGAATCCGACGTTACAGATACTGCACGTCGCTCAATCGAGCCGCCAGACCGGAATGCGGGAAATGAAGCAAAAGAAAGATGTGACATGTTGCGAAAAGAGGTTCGGCTGCACCAAAACGGTTGCGGCCCGAGACACCAAAAAGCAAGCATGACAACCCAACGAGCTTGTGAGTCGAACAATTGGACAGTGCTTTTGCAGGAATGAAATCAATAGTACGTACCTGCTCCTGATTCTGGGACTCCCAGTGCCGATACGGCGTGTGACAGGCGGGCGCGGAGGACTGCGTTCTCTTGCTCGAGCTCCTCGTTCCTCCGGATGAGGTCCATCATCTTGGTGGAGGAGTTGTTCTCCAGTTGCGCAGTGAGGTCGCGAACCTGGCGTTCAAGAGTGTCGATGTGGTCTTTTGTTCTTTGACGGATAGCTCGCTGTGCTTCTCGGTCATTCGCTCTCTTTCGCTCGAGCTGAGCGGCGGTGAGGGTGGTGACGCTGCGGGTGCCGGCTCTCGAAGGTCGCTTCTTCGCACCGGGAGTGAGCTGTCTGGCTTCGGAGCCAGAAGAATGGCCTTCGTAAGGCGGCGACCGCTTCTGCTGGTCCATGTGAGGCGAGTGGTAGCTGGAGGTACTCATGAAGTCACTCCTGTAGGCGATAGGGTCTCGGTAGTGGAGAATTGAAGTCATCGAGGATCCGCGAGAGGCGGTGAGAGTATATGCGATGTCGACGTTGCTATGTCAGCGTGGCCCAAACGAATGCGGTCCAAGCGTTTGGCAATATCAGTTATGTCTGTACAGGCGAAGGGTGCTCCCGTGCTTTGGGGGGAGAATAATGACGAGGGATGAGGGGTGCTCTGTGCCCTGTTGCAGATGCGAAGGAAGGATGATGTCAGTCAGAGACAGATATTAGAAACAAAGTCAGGGACGGCACGACCAAAGGAGCGAAGCAAAATGGTAGAGAGACAGGACTGATGGTAGCAAGACATGGCTGGCATGAGCCTATAACCTGCTATCAGGTCTCATGGATAGCGTCTGTCGGGACCCATGCTCGGCCCTAGGCTAGTGTTGGCATCCTGATCCTGGGCCCCTGGTGGGTAGCCACACAACGTGGGTTCTGGGGAAATCGTTTCACTTTAGCTTGTACGTTAGTACGAGGCTTGGACGCCGCATAGTGTAGGTAGCCCACAGGCTCGTATCAGCTTAGGGTGGTAAAGACCCTTCACGACATATAAACTCTCAACGGTGGTGGCAGGAAGGCCGGCCTAGGAGCATGTCGCCCTGCGTCTGGGTGCGAGGCGTGACTGTTCTGGAAAGGCACTACCACAGGCTCTAGCTTGTTAATTGCACCCCACCCGCGTTGGCATGGCCGAGTTCCTGCGCAACACGCTTCGGCCCACCTGACGTCGAGAGAGCGCGCAGAAAAGCGCCCGTGGGCCCACCGCGAAGGGTCTACGGAAGCGCATAATAATGGGCAGACATGGTGCTGATGTCGCCATGGCCGCTTGCCAGTCAGGAAGCTGGTCGTGTTTGCGGACCGTAGCGAAGTTTGGATGACAGGCAAGCCAGACACGGACAAAATGTGACGTTTGAGGAGCGTATGGCGTGGGCTCATGCAGCGAGTACGTGAAGCGATGCCAGGATCCAGGGATGACACGGGCGATGCAAAGGAGCGCGCAGACGAGCAGGCCCCGGCAGCGCTAAAAGGGTCAGCACGTGGAAGCCCTGCATGGTGAAAATTAGCCCGAAGTGCCAAGGGCCACGATGGGCCTGTCCATGGCTGCTTCAGTCGGAGGGTCGCACTGAGCGTCGAGGCGGCGGGCAATTGCGAGACGCTCGAGGGTCCGCTGTGGATCTCTGCGAGTATTGAGTCCCAGGGGGGGTAGCTTGACAGGCACGTCGATCATGTCGGGACGCAGGGCCATGGCATGGTCCGCCATGAACGAGCAGCGAGGGCTCAGGGCTTTTGGAGGGATAGTTCCGAAGTAACTCCACGGACCATGTTTACACCACAGGTGACATATCGAGTTTGAGCAGTCTTGCCGACGCTGCGAGGAGGACATGTTCGGCGGAGTAAACTCTATCGTGGCCTCATGGCTATCGATGCGTTTCATGCCGTGTGCTGGCTATGCATACATGGTACGTCTATATTCGGCGCCCTGCAGACTAAGCGCATGGTCGGCACGTGGGAAGATATGGTGAGGGCTCCGTCATTCGCAGGGACTGCATTGCCGACAGTCGGACTTGCAGAAATGAGCTGAGGAGCATTGGCCAGAGAGAGTCCGTGATGCGCTCCTGCACGCCGCATGGGGGAGAGGTCAGAAGGTTGTGGCTAGAGCTCGTGCGCCGTACCGTATCCAGTGGTATAGGAAGACTACGTGCAAACCTTGGATAATCACATCTCGTGACGAGTTGGAGATGCTGATGGGCAGAGCCAGTGCAGGACCAGGCAGTCTTGCCATGGGGGTCGCGGATCTGCTGCGCTATGCATCACATCCCCCAATAATCGATAAAGCAAGAATCCTCCGAGCAACCTCACCGCTCCATAGACGCAGGCGCACACGGCGAGGCTTCAGCGACTAGGCCGTAGACGGCAGCGCTGCCAGGCCTCACTTGGCGCCGATATTGGACGATAGCGAATTTCGGCAACTGTTTCGAAGATGACAGTGATGCACGTCGGCAGCACTAGGCTAAGGTGCCGCCAGCCGCGTGCCGCGATGAGAGAATGGACCGGAGCGCGCGATCCTGCCCAGTGCGTGCTGGCGATGGAGACCTGGGCAGAATTTTCAACTGCGGTCGCGAGATGCAGGTTCACGGGCAGAGTCGTGGTGGTTTGGAGGGGCACAGGTGGGGAGCCCGAAGGATCAATTGCGCCGCACCACCTGCAACGCGCGCCTGATTGCGGCTAGCAGCGACGTTATTTGACGTCGTGCGTATACCTGAGACAGCGACAGCTCGACTGTGCCCGAAAGCGTGCTTCATTTCCAGCCAACTCCATTGCCGGCCTCAGGTTTCGGTGAAGAGTCGAGGGCCATGGTACGCGTACGGGAAGTCACGAGGTTAGCTCCTTCCCTACGTCAATGCCCACCGCCCGCGCTCGCTTCTCCCTTGCGCACTCTAGCCCCAATACTCTCACCGTCCATGCCACCGTCCATGCAAACTTCTAGCGCGCCGCCGTCACGTCTCTACGCAGTTAGGGACCTCCAGGAGTGGCTGACATGAGGCCACTCTGCTGTTTGTAATCGCGACTGGGGCAGCTTCAGCGACACTACTAACCAACATCGTCATGACAGTCGCGAGATGCTGAAACCAGCCGTTGCTGCTACCACCACGAATGGCGAGCCTAATATCGACGTTCCCCACACGTAGCTGCCCGAACGTTGATCTTCGCCGTATCCAAGGGCGGCGCGCCGTATCAAATGCACCTCGCGTCCAGTATCGTCCATCTCGTCTCTGCAGTGTCGATAGTAGCGGTGAATTCCGTGTGCTCCAATCTCAGGTCTCCATCCAGTGCTCAACCGAATGCGAAATCCGAACATCCGTCCTCCGTGGAGCCCCAATGTCGTCAACCCCTTCCGTGCAATGCAGGCAGTGGTACCCGTGCGTCGTGGCCCGGAGCGGCAGATCGGTGCTGCGGTGTAACCATCTCTACCTGTCAGATCGCAGCTGCAGTGTCACCACCGACACCCAAACACTGGAATTCTTGGGATGCAGAGCGAGCCGGTTCGCTCGCTAGACCTGTCTTACTCGTAATGGCGCCTGGCGGCTGCACGCAAGCTTAGTTCAACCATCTCCAAGGGCCCTACAGACAAGCCCAACTCCAGGACACCATGTCCACTTTGCGGGCCCGTGAACGATTGCGCAAGCAAACCTGCGTCGGCCGGATCAGATGGCGTCCGAAACATCAGCATTATCATAATCTCAAGTGCCGGTCCCAAAGTAAGGCCAGCCGCCAAACTGTCACAGACGGACGGTTCGTCATGACTCCATGACTTCGCTACCAAACTTAGGATCTATCTTTCCGTGCCTACTAGATAATCAGCCGGCATTCTTCCATGAACCTGCATCCTGAGTGTCCGCTGCTAATCTCGAACTCAATTGTCCAACTCCACAAGACCATGCCACCCACTAGCGGCCACGAACTTTTGGTGAAGACGACCCCTAGCCTGAAACATGCTTGTGGAAAATTAGAGTTTACGGGTCTACCCCAACAAGGATGCCCCACTTGCTCTAACCACACCATTTGGATCTCTCCTAGCCTCGCTAACGCTACAATTTCGCGCCCTCCCTCACCGATCACGCTTCACGATTCGCGCCAAGCGAGCCTGTTGCGCCATCAAAGGTCTCCGAAGCTTCTAGCTCTTAGACTAGAAGTGCAACATAGCGATGGCGCAACCTCTTGCTATCGAGTGATTGGTGGGGCGTGCAATTACAGTTTTCAGTCGCTATCGTTTTGGCCAAACCCGAATGCGATTGTATAGTCGTTGGGCGCGCCACGTTCCTTTCTTTTTGGCGTTTACCTGCATAAAAGACGCAATTGTGGGGTATGATTCGAGGCTGAAAGTGGCGGTACGCTGACGTTGGTGGACGAATGCGTGTAGGAAACAGGCGAGATGGGATGCGTGCCGATTTGGCTGTCAGGGATCTCTTCAGCTCTACAGGCACCCTTCACCCTCAACCATGACAGCATGGTGGACACTCAACCAAACTTTATCAACTTTGGTACACTACGCCTCGGGCACCACGGCACCACGATCTTAGCAGACAGATGAGGAGTTCGTTCAAACGTCGGAATCAATATCGCGAGGCTAACACGGGAGATACACAACCATCATCCCAGTGGTTGTTACCACGCGGGGCCTAAGATGGCGCAATGCTCCGGATCTAAGATAGTATCTACAGATGCAAAGACTCCGAGATCCATCTAAGAAAAGAGAGGGTCGCACAGCTTTCCGCACACGGTAATTTGCAAGGACAGCCCATCATGGCATGCCACATTGTGCCACATCGTCCCACATTCACCGTCTCCCATCCACATACATGGCGCTAGAAAAATCCTAGAAGGGCACTGCCTATCAATCCAGGCCCATCCCGACAGTGATTCGGTGGATGCGTATCCGTCCTACACCGTCGTACGCCACATCCGCGGGTCGCCAGGATTCTCGGTTTCTTACTCCTTTTTGATGTACTTGTCAAAGATTTTCGAGATTTCTCGCGCGCTCTTCTTAGGGTATCGCTTCTGGCCACCCTTGTAGTCGACGTAGGTAACGCCGAAACGTGTCGTGTAGCCTTCGGCCCACTCAAAGTTGCTGCAGGTACACCAAGTCAGTGTCCATGACGCTTTACACGGCGTCCGCGGGACCCCAAGCCCGCAGTGTTTGAGGCTAGGAGAGAAAGAATGATCTACCCGGGAGCGAACGCGCAACCGCCATGCGGACAAATAAAGACTCCACCACTCATTGGGAAAGAAAAAAGAAACTTCTTGATGACAAGTGGGGGTCAGGGTAGACGTCAAGAAACGGGATTACTCACTCCATGAGACTCCAAGCTGAGTAGCCCCTGACATCGACACCGTCCAAGGTGTGAGCATCGGCCAAGGCTCCAATGTA